CAATCGATTTACAGGTTGTGTAAATCGATTGATCACAGAACAAACTGATTTTTTTAACACTTGTAAATCGATTGACACTACATGCTAATCGATTTACACTTCAAACTTTTTGAAATTCTGAACGTTACAAACACGTGCAATCGATTTGCATGTTATGTTAATCGATTTGCACATTGAAAATTTTGAAAAATCTGAAATGGTTTCAAGATATCCTTCATACCTTTTCTCCAATGGTTGCATGATCAAACATTGCATCTTGTCAAGTTTTACAAACAGAAAAGTGTCCTTTTGGAAAGGTATCTTGATTGCTATATATTACAAAATATTTCAAATCATAAACATCTCTTCTCTTGCAATAAAATCTGAACTTTGTAATATATTCAAACTTCATATTTCTTAACTTTTAAGAACAAAGATTTTCTGCACTTTCACACATATAAAGAACAGAAATCTTTGAGCATTATCTAACCATTGTGTTACAGTTTGAATTGCTTACAAGAGAAGAAAGAAGAAACTTCAAAGAAGTCACTCTAAGTGATCAACATCTTTCAAGAAATCATACTTCATAAAAACATACAAAGTGTAACTTATTTCCAGGATTGTTGGAATTAAGTATTAGATTATTTATTGTTCCTTGTTGTCCATTGTTGGAAACAAGAGGTATCTTTTGAGAGGATTGTTCTCATTAGACTTATTGGAAATCCAAGAGGGTGTTCTTGGTTATTTGTTAGGTTCTTTAGTGGATAAGACTAGGAAGAGTCTTGTAAAAGTTCTAACAATATAGTAAAATCTCTTGCGTGTTTGCAAGGGGACTGGACGTACTTCCGGGTTGTGGAAGGAACCAGGATAATTCTCCGTGTCTCTTTACTTTCTGCACTTTACAGTTTTCAAAGCACTATATCAAAACCAGAAAGTATAAAATAAGTCAAAAATCGACCATCACCTAATTCACCCCCCCTCTTAGGCGCAATCTTAATCTTACATCACCTACAGTCTTGGGAATAGACACAGAAGACAAAGAGGAAATACAAGCATAATGCAAAGAAGACAAGCGATGATAAGACAAATTAACATAATGAGGAGATGGATTACGAGTGGAACGTATACCTTTGCGAAGTGCAATTGGGAGATCAGTCTCAGGGGGCAGGACCGGAGGGGACGAAGGAGTTGGATCCGGAGGGGAGTCTATGGTGATTTCTGCATTAGTTGATGGTAGTGGAGGTGGCCGTGGTCGACGCCGATAAACCTGCAAAGGAGCTAATGGGGGTGGATTGGCTGGTAAAGGAGACAAAACTACGTTTGGTGGGGGCAGTAGTGGGAGATGAAGAAAACATGGGTGATAGGGACTCAGACCCTGTAGACGTCCCAAAGTAAGGGACTGACTCAAAGAATGTGACATCAGCAGAGACGAAATATCGACGAAGAGACGAGGAGTAACACTTATATCCCTTTTGAGATCTTGTATAGCCTAAGAACACACACTTATGAGAACGAGCTGAGAGTTTGTCTAGCCCGGGACTAACATTATGGACAAAACATGTAGACCCAAAGACTCTAGGCTGTAATGGGTGAAGAGACTGGTGAGGAAATAGAATAGAGTGAGGGATCTGGTTGTTGAGGACAGATGATGGCATCCTATTTATGAGATAACAAGCCGTAAGGACAGCATCACCCCAAAAATGTTAAGGAACATTATTGTGAAGTAAGAGTGTCCTAGTGGTTTCAACTAGGTGTCTATTTTTACGTTCAGCGACTCCGTTTTGTTGTGGTGTGTGAGCACAAGACGTTTGATGAAGCATACCGTTAGTAGCCATAAAAGTTTGAAATTGAGTAGATAAATATTCTCGAGCATTGTCACTGTGCAAAGTACTAATGGATATACCAAACTGATTTTTGATTTCATTATAAAATGTTTGAAAAATAGCAAATAACTCCGATCGATTTTTCATTAAAAATAACCAGGTACGTCGAGAATAATCATCAATGAAGGTAACAAAATACTTAGACCCTAAAGTGGAAACAATGCGACTAGGACCCCAAACATCCGAATGAACTAGAGCAAACGGAGACTTAGAACGACGATTGACACGACTCAGAAAAGAACTACGAACATGTTTTCCTAATTGATAAGACTCGCAAGATAACGTAGATAACTTGGAAAGGTTGGGCACCAACTTTTGTAACTTTGCAAGACTTGGATGTCCTAACTGAGCATGAACCAGGAGGGGAGAATCCACCACGGAACCAACATGTGCAGATGGTTGAAGAAGATAAAGACCATTAGACTCACATCCGGTGCCAATCATCCGTCTCGAACTCCGGTCCTGCAAGAAAAAAGAATCTTTGGTGAATGAGATAGTACAATCAAGAGATCGAGTCAAACGACTTAGAGACAATAAGTTAAACGGAGATCCGGGTACATAAAGAACATTAGTAATGGAGAGCGAGGGAAAAAGGTGGATAGTACCAGTACCCTGAGATTGAGTTTGGGAGCCATTTGCTAATGTGACAAAGGGTAATAAACCAGAAGTAGAGAATGAAGAAAAAAGAGATTTATTACCAGTAATGTGATCAGTGGCGCCTGAATCAAGGATCCATGGGCCAAGAGATGTGGAGTGAGAAAGACCAGCAAAAGAATTACCCGTGTGCGCAACAGATGCAGTGGAACTAGCGGCCTGACGCTCCTCATACCACTTGATAAAGTCGTTAAAGATAGCAGGTGAGGTGGCAGAATCAGTCGGAGTAGCAGCCTGTGGAGGTGGAGCGGTCTGGGCAACGTGGGCAGTCCGAGGAGAGGGACGTCCATGTAAAGCATAACACCGATCGATAGTGTGGCCAAGCTTATGACAATGATCACACTTAGGACGAGGCTTTCCAGTCTTCTGAAAGTGGCCACGATCACCACCCGGAGCACGATTACCTCCTTGAAAAACCAAAGCAGATGAATCAACTGGTGTGGGTGGGACTCCGCCGTCAGATGATGGTTTTGCTGGGACACGTAGCAAAGTAGACCATGCAGTATCCAGAGTGGGGATTGTAGGAGACCCCAATATCTGATCGCGAACAGATGAATACTCTGGAGGTAGGCCATACAGAGCTAGAAGCATGAAGAAGGATCGACGTTGTTCAAGTTCCTTAGCAGTGGTAGCAGCTGGGGGCAATAATTCATTGAAATCATGAAGAAGACCTTGAACACGACCCAAGTATTCAGCCATAGAACCATCCAGGTGACGAGGGGAAATAATATTCTGCAAATTTTGACACACTCCATATAAGCGTTGTGTATCATTGGTATAAAGGATCTTAGCCTGTGCCCAAACAGATTCGCAAGTCTCATGAGAACGAAAGATCTGTTTCAAGGATGGACTAATAGTCGACTTAATGAGACTGCAGAGTTGAGCATCAATTTTCTTCCAACGAGCACTATCAGTGGCAGCCACCGAGTCAGCCTTCGTAGTGAGGTGATCTTCATAGGCCTGTCCCCGGAGCCATAACTTGACGTCGGAAGCCCAAGAATCATAGTTAGTACCGTCCAATTTGTCAACGGCAAGAGGAGTAGTGATATAACTTGTGAAAATAGGGGCCTCAGCCCTTGGAGGGGGAACGGCGGCCATGGATTCCAAAAACGGTGAGAGAAGTGACAAAAAAAAAGGAAGATCTGAGAAGGAATATCGGAAACCGGAGATGAAGCACGGTTACCGAAGAAAAAAAAAATGGCGCCGATAGATAGTGGATCTACCGGGAAAGCACGGATTAGGGTTGCCTCTTGTTAGGCTCTAGATACCATGTTGAATAATGAGAGAACAAGAGAAAGGTTGGATTGAATCCGTGTGTTTGAATTACACATCGGAGCTCATTATATATAATAGGAGGCATAAATGCCATAGTAATTACATAATATTCTATAATAATTCCATAATATTTTATTTCCTATTTACATGATATCCTAATTACTTATAGAATATTCTATTTACATAATATGGAATATTCTGATATCTAACAATGTCCATAAGCTTAATTGGGCTTTTAGCTTATAGCCTTAATTGGGCTTTTAGCTTGTAGCCCACACGAGTGATTCTATAAATAGATCCCTTGTGATGAAGCAATTTCACTTGATGCAATTTCGTTTTTGATTCTCTCTCACTCAAGGTTTTCGTTCGTGATCAGCTAGCACTGTGACCGGAAGCGATCTGTTCGTGTGGACTGAGTAGAGGCGTTGTTCTTCATCAACGCTCGTGATCACAACATCAAAGGTCTGAATCGCCACAAGAGGTAAATATTTCTATCACTGACCATGTTCATTTGTAAGGATCGCTAAAGGAAAATTTTAAATTCCGCTGCGCTTTTGATCGCAATTTTCCTTCAGTTTTCATAGTAAATAGATTGTGTGAATACTCCTTTTATAATTGCTTAGGTTGATTGTGTGAATACTCGTTTTATGATTGCTTAGGTTGATTGTGTGAATACTCGTTTTATGATTGCTTAGGTTGATTGTGTCAATACTCGTTTTATGATTGCTTAGGTTGACAGTGTGAATACTCGTTTTATGATTGTTTAGGTTGATAGTGTGAATACTCGTTTTATGATTGCTTAGGTTGATTGTGTCAATACTCGTTTTATAATTGTTTAGGTTGATTGTGTGAATACTAGTTTTATAATTGCTTAGTTGATTGTGGTTTTTTGATTTAATGATCTGACAATTCTCTTTTATGTACTGAATATGTTTTTGTTTATATATAATAATAACCAAAATGTTTGGCATTTTTGGACATTGACAATAAGCATGCCTTTTGCTAGTGTTAATTATATGAACTGAAATTCTCCGTAAAAGAGATTCAATCTACCTTGTATACTCTTTACTATTTGATTTGTCTTGAAAATTTTGAACAAAATTAAAGTACAATATAATAGTCCTCAGTTTGGGAGGATAGTAAATTATTTGAATTATATTATCTTATCAAGTTAGGAGAGGAGTTAAAATACTATTGAAGGAGTGATGAATGTTAGAGAGTGAGACCATGTGCCAATGTTGCTGTATTATGAAAGAAAGGGACTTCACCACTTTGGTTGGAGGGATATCTTGTCAAGTGTTTGCTAGTATTCAATTATTTAGATTTCATGTGTTTGTTTGAAATTTAAGAGTTCCTTTTGGTGATTGTTATGTTATTGTTTTGCAACTGCTTTCCGATGGTATGACTGAAAATTTCCATTATCATTTTTTAAATTCCTGACATGCTTTTTGATTGTTTTATCAGAGTTTCTTGGTTGCTGGTGGAAGAAAAGAAAACAATAGGATGTTGGAGTTATTACACATGATGGAAGGTGAAGGGAAAATCCATAGGCAAGGTCAATTGTTCTGTGTATGATTACATGTTGGAATAAACTGATATGATGTTGGACTACTCAATACGATATTTTATTATCAGTCACTACTATGAGTGGAAGATTGTGAAACTTTCCACTATAATATCTTTGTCAAAGTAATGTGAAACCGCAAGAGGATCTTTTTTGTTGATATCTGATTCACCTTGATCATTGCTCCCACCCATGAGATTTGATAGTTCATCGAACAAAGGTGGTTCCTTGCTGCTGTTCTAGTCGACTTCTTCTCTTGGTGTTGAACACTTTTCTGGCTTTGGAACTGGATTTCTTACACTACTGCTTCTTCTCTCTTGTGGCGGACTTACTGGTTGGCAATCTGCATGGAGTGCATCTTTGATTCTTGATAGTACTGTAAAGTCCAAACATTCCAATATTTGTGAATAGATTTCAAGAACAGCAGCTTGCCCTGCATCCAGCCGTAATAAATTATACTTGGCAGAACAGTAAGCACAAACAATAACACAATAATTGATAAAGATGTCGTCATGGCAACATTGTGCTGAAAAGCATTATGCAATGATGTACTTGTTTAATCTTATCTGACTATGATAATAGTTGTGGAGATTTATCATAGAATGATGATAATATTTCGATGCTATGTTATGACAAAGGTTCTATGGCTGGTGTGAAACTGGTTGTTTTGCAGTTTTAATAGAGATTATATTGAGACTTCCATAGTTGTCATTATATTTGAAACAAATTGGCATTGGTTAATCAATTAATTTAATAAGCTCTGTATATCTGGAGTTCCATGCAACTTAAAAAGTTTTAAAGCTCAACTGCATTGTTTTGTGTTTTTCATTTTCTTCTTTCAATTGTACCTTTCAATTGATATTATCTATATCACTCCCAATCAGATATTTTCGATTTATAATTATTAGATACACTAATAACTAATAAGAATAAGCTAATAAAATTAAGTAACTATGTGATAAAGTTAATATTCTATCTTTTTATTTATCTTATTTTCTTAATCTATAATTATATATCTATAACTATATATATAAAGAAGATACATCATTTTGGGCTAGTCTATTTTAGTTTCAATATTATCCTTAAAAAATTGTCGCAGTTACAAAATATGATAACCGGCAAATGTAAACAACATTGCAAATATTTAACTGCAATAAGAAATGAAAAGAGTTTAGAACAATTGCAACCTATTTCACTCAATAGCAAAAGCATTAGAATCTAAATGAGAAACATAACCCTTTATCTTTTTCATATCTTTCAACAAAAATTTAAGGTTTGTTTTCTTTTTTCTGCTCGGTTACTTTTTAGGTTTTTTTTATCGATATGGTCTATTGTTGATAATGATAGAACATATGACTAATATATTGATTCTCTTGAAGCTATTATATATTCAAATTAGATACATAATGAGACAAGGCAAAAAAAAAAAATAATTGATTGATACTATATTCATGTGTTTAATTCATTCTTTTTTTTCTAATAGATTTTGATATTATATGTTCTCAACCAATTTTTCTATGAAATTGAAAGAAGAATTAATTAAGAATGTTGAATTTTTCACGCCAAAAATTTCTAAAAACTTCAATAATGGAATCCACTGCCAATGTTAATGTCATAATAAACTTTCAACAACTTCATGTTTCTTTCTGGAGAATTATTTATTGGATTATTTTATGTATCAATGTTTTGTTTCTATCATATTAATTTTTTAATATTCCTTTTCTTTGTTTTTGATTAATAGTTGTTCTTTTGTTTTACAAGTATTGAATTATTTGTTGTCTTGGTTTTTGGTTTTTCTGCTATTGGTGTAGCACATTTAGCGCGGTTGAGCCGCTTAGTGCGCTTTTCTGAGTTGCGCCAATAACTTCTTTTTATTTCACTTGATTTTCTTTTTTCTCATTTTCATCAAAGTTTTACATTAGTAATTAACAATAGTATTATTCAACTAATTATTTTATTGTTGTTTGGACTCAAATTTTGATTCGATGACTTGAGGTCGTTTTTGGTGATTTTCCGATTTTGAGTGTGTCAACTTGCGGATGTATGGTAATGATAGTTTTTAAAGTTGGTACTCGTCATGTACTCGTTTATCGCTTTCTATAACATAACATGTTTAGGAAACTTATCATTTGTATAATTACTTTAGTTCCATTTTTATCCTAAATGCGAGGAAGCTTTCCATTATTCATATATATTAGAGGTCACAATTCTTGTTTTAACTGGATTTTATTATGTTCAATCTTTTGTTTGTATTGATTGTATGAAAGCATGAACATAATCAAGACATTTTTGTTTCATTTTGAGCACAACTACCTTGACCAAATAGTCATTTCATCCCGTGAGTGTGTGCGTATTTGTTATCCTCCTTTGAGCCTTTTTGTCGATATCCATGTTGTTTTTGCTAAATGCTTATAGTTCATCTTTTTAATATGGATATTGATTCTTTTATTTTTTTGGACCCTCAACTATGATTTATAGTTTAAATTTTTACCTTGCCTTAGAAAGTAGGGAGTATTCACTTTAATGTTGGTTGAATTCCAGTTGGGGAGATATTTGTTTGCTCATTTATGTTGTTGATTGCTATGAGGTTGTGAAAGAGAAAAATAAAATAAAAGAAGAAGAAAATGTGAAAAAGAAGTGAAAAGAAAAAGAAAGAAAAAGAAAGAAAAAAGAGAAAAAAGTTTTAAAAAATAAAACAAAAAAGAGTAGAATAATGTTGTGTTGAATAAGTATTGTAATTGGTGTGAAATTTTGGGGATGAAAAATAAGTTTGATTGAGATTTTATTGCTTGAAACTTTGTGAGTTGATCACTCCCTTAGGTAGGCAAGTTTTTGTTTCGATTAGTTTTAGGACTTATCCCTTGTTTGTTAACCAAGCCATATTACAACCTTGAAAAGCCCTTGTGATTCTTGCCTTTTTACTTTCAATATGAGTTTTTGAATGAATGCATAATTTAGTCTTTTGTTTGCAAGATTGTAGATGAGTGTTTTTTGTCCCTCACTTTTGTGTGTTCTTCATCTACCGATTAATTTTTACTAGGTGTGATTCGTGATTGAGCTTGTTTTATTTTAGAATATTTAGTATGATTTTTGTACTTAGGATTCGTTTCGTTTACATGTTATCGTTGTAGGATTGTGGTAAGTATTTACCTTGTGTGTGTGTGTGTTTGTTTGAACTATACATTTGTTTTCATTTTCAAACTTGTTGATTCACGATTCTTTGGTTGATTACATTTGGTTCTTTGAGTTGTTTGGCCTTGTTTGAGGACAAACAAGTTCAAGATGGGGAGAGTTTGATACGTGCAAATTATAGCTATTTTTGTATAAATACGTTTAGTTTGTGTTTATTTGTGTTTTGTGTATATAGTGTACCATTTGATGTTTTTTCATTTATTTTGTAGGTATGTATTGCATTTGGAGCATCGAGGAATAAGGTGTCGAAGAAACGGCTCCGGATGCGCATTTTTGGAATAAAAGACCCAGTTTTGAGAAGTTATACTCAAGGGACCGCGCTAAGCGCATCCTCTAGCGTGCTACGCACAATTTCGAATAATTTGGCAGAAGCTTTGTAATTGAATTCGCTTAGCGCGGATAGTGCAGATTTAGGCAGTTTAGTGTGTATATATCAGGCAGCCCGCTTAGCGAGGTGAGCCTGCTAAGCGCGGTCTGCTGAGATCAGTTTTGTATAAATAGTTTAGAAACAAATTTTCTAGGTTTTTATCATTTTTTTCCCTCTTGGAGGAGTTCTGATCAAATTCTTTGTAGCGTAGAGGTTCAAGCAACATCATTGGATGGTTCGTCATGTAGATTGATTATGGGTGGTCTCGAATCGTGTTGACACCGCAAGAAGTTTCCTATTCATCTCCTTCTTTCCTATGTATAATTCCTATTGTGGGTGTTGTATGTATATCTTTACTCTTATTGTATGTATATTTGTTGATCATGAGATTATATGAAATCTCTTTTAAAAATTAATACATGTGTTTATTCTTAATTTTTGCTTAATCTCCGAGTTTTGGTTTGTCGTAGACATATGTTTTCCGAATCTCTTTCTTGAAATAATACCTATTAGGTCCTAGATTATAGACATAGATTTAGGCTTAATATTCATGTGGGTATCGATTATGAAATGCATCTGGGTTATTTGAGTCGGTTGAGAGATCGTCGACGAGAGCAATACGGGTGATGTCTCACTTTGTGTTAGAGATATCCTTAGTGTGAGCGATACGTGATGGTATTGACAAGTCATTTAGGTAGCGTGCAATTTATCTGCAAGTTTAAGTATTTGACGGATAGAGTGAAATGCAATTCCAGAATGAATTATCTTAAGCTGCAAATGATTGTTTATCACTTTTTTTATTTTATTTATTTACTTTTCCTGTACTTTTTTCGCAAACCCCGTTTCTAAACTTAGAAGGATTGAAATTGTTGAAAGATAGTTTTTCCCTCTTACCAATCTCTGTGGACATGATACAATATAACCTATATATCACCCGGTAAAAATAATACTTTAATTTTTGCTTACCACTTTACCGCTTCAGTAACAGTCGCCTCACAAAATAGGACCTCCGTGAGCAGAAGAGGAAGGGGAAGGAGCCCGTGGTAGAAGTATAGGAACCATCCTCGTCTAGGATCAGCAAAGAGCTCACGCACCCTGTGTGCCTAATCCCAGATGGAGAATTTGAAATCATTCCCCTGGGTGATGATCCATCCAGAGGAGTCAAGATCAGTGCTGACCTCCCCGACTTGACCAAAAGATAGCTAAAGGTGTGCCTTAGAGAGAATGCGGACTTGTTCGCCTAGAGCGTAGCAGAAATGTCTGGCTTAGATCTTGAGATAGATTGCCATCACCTGACGATATACCTGCTATTAAGGCAGTTGCTCAACATAGATGTCGGTAGTCCCTGGAAAAAACTAAGGCTGCCGAGCACGCTATCAAAGACCTCCTAGAGAAATTTTTTATCTCTAAAGCCCAGTACACAACCTGGCTCTCTAACGTTGTTCTTGTGAAAAAGAGTAATGGAAAATAGCGCATGTGCATTAACTTACCGATCTCAACCGAGCTTGCCCGAAAGATGCTTATCCCCTCCCCAATATTGAAAAACTAGTTGATAATTGTGCAGGTTTTAAATTATTGTTATTCATGGATGCATATTCTGGATACAACCAGATCCCCATGGCAAAAATGAACAAGAAGTACACGGCCTTCATGACTGAGTCGAGAAACTATTACTACAATTTAATGCCTTTCAGTCTGAAGAATATCGATGCTACATACCAACAAATGATGAACAAGGTTTTCCGAGGGGAGATATGAGACATGCTCGAGGTCTACATGGATGACATGATCCTCAAGTCCAAATAAGAAACCGACCATGCTTTCCACCTAAAGAAAGTCTTCGAGCAGACAA